ATGGTTCCATGTCTAGTTGGCAGCCGGTATCAAGTGGAGTGCCCCAAGGGTCGGTCCTGGGGCCGGTTTTGTTCAATATCTTCATAAATGATCTGGAGGATGGTGTGGATTGCACTCTCAGCAAATTTGCGGATGATACTAAACTGGGAGGAGTGGTAGATACGCTGGAGGGGAGGGATAGGATACAGAAGGACCTAGACAAATTGGAGGATTGGGCCAAAAGAAATCTGATGAGGTTCAATAAGGATAAGTGCAGGGTCCTGCACTTAGGACGGAAGAACCCAATGCACAGCTACAGACTAGGGACCGAATGGCTAGGCAGCAGTTCTGCGGAAAAGGACCTAGGGGTGACAGTGGACGAGAAGCTGGATATGAGTCAGCAGTGTGCCCTTGTTGCCAAGAAGGCCAATGGCATTTTGGGATGTATAAGTAGGGGCATAGCGAGCAGATCGAGGGACGTGATCGTTCCCCTCTATTCGACATTGGTGAGGCCTCATCTGGAGTACTGTGTCCAGTTTTGGGCCCCACACTTCAAGAAGGATGTGGATAAATTGGAGAGAGTTCAGTGAAGGGCAACAAAAATGATTAGGGGTCTGGAACACATGACTTATGAGGAGAGGCTGAGGGAGCTGGGATTGTTTAGCCTGCAGAAGAGAAGAATGAGGGGGGATTTGATAGCTGCTTTCAACTACCTGAAAGGGGGTTCCAAAGAGGATGGCTCTAGACTGTTCTCAATGGTAGCAGATGACAGAACGAGGAGTAATGGTCTCAAGTTGCAGTGGGGGAGGTTTAGATTGGATATTAGGAAAAACTTTTTCACTAGGAGGGTGGTGAAACACTGGAATGCGTTACCTAGGGAGGTGGTAGAATCTCCTTCCTTAGAGGTTTTTAAGGTCAGGCTTGACAAAGCCCTGACTGGGATGATTTAACTGGGAATTGGTCCTGCTTCGAGCAGGGGGTTGGACTAGATGACCTTCTGGGGTCCCTTCCAACCCTGATATTCTATGATTCTATGATTCTATGAAGTGAGGCTATTGATATAACAGGCATCACAGAAACGTAGTGAAATGAGGATAATCAATGTGACACAATAATACCAGAATACAAAATCTATTGGAAGGACAGAACAGGTGGTGCTGGTGGGGTAGTGGCACTATACGTTAAAGAAAGCATAGAATCAAATAAAGTAAAAATATTAAATGGATGAGCCTCTGAAGCTAGTATTGTTATACCAGTAAAATAAAAGAAACAGCAGGATCTTATTAAAGGGACCAGGCAAAATGCCACATTTATTGTAAATATAATAATAAAAAGAAATATATATATAAACCTCACATTGTTGTATCATTGCTTATTCCTTATTTAACTATATATATATATATATATATATATATATATATATATATATATATATATATATATATATAAATATTCATTCATTCATTCATACCAGTTCTGCATAAGGGTTACAGTTACCAGCCTAGAATTTGCTCGTGACAGAGTACTGGCCAGGTAGCCTGTACACAAGAGTTGTGTCAGATGAGCATCTGATGCTCCTGAAGGGTAGTGGCAGAACCGGAGACTCAAAGTTCTCAGTCCTTAGAGTAGGAGTACTTGTGGCACCTTAGAGACTAACCAATTTATTTGAGCATGAGCTTTCGTGAGCTACAGCTCACTTTAGCTCACGAAAGCTCATGCTCAAATAAATTGGTTAGTCTCTAAGGTGCCACAAGTACTCCTTTTCTTTTTGCGAATACAGACTAACACGGCTGTTCCTCTGAAACCAGTCCTTAGAGTCTGTTTTTATAGGAATTTCTTCCTATGCCAGTCCATGGAAATTGCTTTGTCATATTGTTAGTCATGACGGCTCCAGGACGGCTGTCAGGTGCTCTTCAGCTTTCTTCATCCTTTGAATTGGTTGGGTGGATCACAGTATGCCCTCCGGGGGTTCTCTGGTTGTTTTCACCTGGCGCCTTCTTCGGTTGATTGATACCGAATTCCTAGGCTGGCACTTCCCCGATTATTCCAAACCCACTGTTACGAATTACACCTTGTAGGACACACACACAACTGCTGCGAATTATACCTGGTAGGACACGCACACAAGTGCTTCGAATTACACCTGGTAGGACACGCACACAAGTGCTACGAATTACACCTTGTAGGACACGCACACAAATGCTGTGAATTATACCTGATAGGACACGCACACCAGTGCTGCGAATTATACCTGATAGGACACGCACAGTTCGAATCTAGGCTGAGGCACAGAAACAAAGTCCACAACTGCAGAGTTCCCAAAAGACACTAAGTTTATTACGCTCAAGCGTGGTGCCCCCCTGCTAGCCAGGAAGGGACCCTGAATGCAGATTATACAAAGGTTATATACCTTTTAGCAAAGCATGTTGCCCTCGTGCATCAGAAACCTTAGCCAATAAACAAACCCTTGTCTTATCTACCACCTATCCCTGCTTGGTGCATTCCTCGTGCTATGCCAGTATGTTAATTACACAGCATGGTCCTAAAGCCATGCATCAGTAACTTTTATTATCAGGATGGGAGGCCTCACATCAAGGCCAAGAGACAGGGAGTTAGAGACTGACAAAAACCAGATACTGGGAGTCAAGGCAGGCTGGAGACAAGGAGGAGGATTTTCACAGGGATTCAATATCTAAGGATTACTGCTCCTGGTGTATGATGTGCTGGCATTTAAACAATGGTGGGCCCCAAACCAAAATGGAGTCACATGTGCTAACTTTTCCTTAACACCCACCATTCATTCACACACATTCTTTACTCTAATAAGAACACATTTATCATTTCACCGAGTATTGTTATTTATTTGAGACTCTCTGTCTCTTAACATTCCTTCAGTATTAACTTTCTTTTAACATGCAAATGTGTTATTTATTTGAGACTCCCACTCTTTTAACATTCCTGATACAAACTATGGAGGGTGGGAGTCTCTATGTGATATTTCTATGAGCGCCGCTCCAATTAACGGCTTTTCGTGGTTGTTGTTACAATAACAAGAAAACATGTCAATCTCCATTACAAAGTATCAGTTTACAGAGTAGAGTCAATTGAGCATAACCATTTTTGAAAGTAAGGTTAATTGAGTGGTTTACATTCATAAGCGTCAATCTCAATTACAATCAAGAGAAAGTTGTCAACTCAGAGAGAGTAGAGTCAATTGAGCGGTTTAGGTTTACAAGCGTCAATCTCAATAACAAAGTATCAGTTTAGAGAGAGAGTAGAGTTAATTGAGTGGTTTAGGTTTGCAGGTGTCTATCTTAATCACAAAGTACCGCTTAGGGTTAATTAATGGCTCACAAGGTACTTACAGTCAATTGAAGGTTTGCAAACTTTAACACAGACACCGGCAACAGTTATGGGGAGTTGCAAATCAATATTGCAGATTTACAATTATTTCAAATAGAAGAATTACAAATGTTATAAGCAGAAAATAGGAGAATTACAAATGTTATAAGCAGAATTACAAATATTATAAACTGGAGTTGCAAATCAATATTGCAGATTTACAATTATTTCAAATAGGAGAATTACAAATGATGAGATTACTGGTTCTGTGGATGAAGGGAAAGCAGTGGATGTATTGTTTCTTGACTTTAGCAAAGCTTTTGACACGGTCTCCCACAGTATTCTTGTCAGCAAGTTAAGGAAGTATGGGCTGGATGAATGCACTATAAGGTGGGTAGAAAGCTGGCTAGATTGTCGGGCTCAACGGGTAGTGATCAATGGCTCCATGTCTAGTTGGCAGCCGGCGTCAAGTGGAGTGCCCCAGGGGTCGGTCCTGGGGCCGGTTTTGTTCAATATCTTCATAAATGATCTGGAGGATGGTGTGGATTGCACTCTCAGCAAATTTGCGGATGATACTAAACTGGGAGGAGTGGTAGATACGCTGGAGGGGAGGGATAGGATACAGAAGGACCTAGACAAATTGGAGGATTGGGCCAAAAGAAATCTGATGAGGTTCAATAAGGATAAGTGCAGGGTCCTGCACTTAGGACGGAAGAACCCAATGCACAGCTACAGACTAGGGACCGAATGGCTAGGCAGCAGTTCTGCGGAAAAGGACCTAGGGGTGACAGTGGACGAGAAGCTGGATATGAGTCAGCAGTGTGCCCTTGTTGCCAAGAAGGCCAATGGCATTTTGGGATGTATAAGTAGGGGCATAGCAAGCAGATCGAGGGACGTGATCGTTCCCCTCTATTCGACATTGGTGAGGCCTCATCTGGAGTACTGTGTCCAGTTTTGGGCCCCACACTACAAGAAGGATGTGGATAAATTGGAGAGAGTCCAGCAAAGGGCAACAAAAATGATTAGGGGTCTGGAACACATGAGTTATGAGGAGAGGCTGAGGGAGCTGGGATTGTTTAGCCTGCAGAAGAGAAGAATGAGGGGGGATTTGATAGCTGCTTTCAACTACCTGAAAGGGGGTTCCAAAGAGGATGGCTCTAGACTGTTCTCAATGGTATCAGATGACAGAACGAGGAGTAATGGTCTCAAGCTGCAGTGGGGGAGGTTTAGATTGGATATTAGGAAAAACTTTTTCACTAAGAGGGTGGTGAAACACTGGAATGCGTTACCTAGGGAGGTGGTAGAATCTCCTTCCTTAGAGGTTTTTAAGGTCAGGCTTGACAAAGCCCTGGCTGGGATGATTTAACTGGGAATTGGTCCTGCTTCGAGCAGGGGGTTGGACTAGATGACCTTCTGGGGTCCCTTCCAACCCTGATATTCTATGATTCTATGATTCTATGATTCTATGCCTACATAATAAACAGCCTGGAAGTGCGGGACCCATGGGGGCAAGGTTGGAGCTCTGCCACACTATGTTTTGGTGATCTTCCTTGAGCTCCTGGAAGTCTTTAGACTTGCACTGAGAGAAGAAAGATGTCTCGTTCAATATAATCTAGTCTCCTGTTGTTTTTCCTTTCAGGAAGGAAAGCTCAATACTCCTCGGACCTGCCCAGTACATTATGTCAGCTGTCAATGACACCAAATTCAGCTCTGCAGTGTTCCTTCTCAGCGGGATACCTGGGCAGGAAGACATCCATCTCTGGATCTCTATCCCCTTCTGCTTAATGTATGTTATTTCCATAGTAGGAAATTTGGTCATTCTGTTCATTATAAAAACAGATCCAGCCCTCCATGAGCCCATGTACATTTTCCTTTCCATGTTGGCCGTCGCGGACCTTGGCTTATCCATAGCCACCATACCGACGATACTGGGCATATACTTGTTTAACTCTAGGGAAATCAGCCCTGATGCATGTTTTGCTCAGCTGTTCTTCATCCACTCTCTTTCATTCATTGAATCCTCTGTGCTCTTGTCGATGGCCTTTGACCGCTTCATCGCCATCTGTGACCCTCTGAGATATGTTTCCATCTTAACCCCACTGAGAATAGCCAAGATGGGACTGGTGCTTGTGCTAAGAGCGGTGGCCTTAGCATTCCCACTCCCCTTTCTCCTGAAACGGTTCCGATACTGTCAAGCCAATGTCCTTTCCCATTCCTACTGCCTGCACCAGGAGGTCATGAAGTTGGCTTGTTCGGACATCACAGTCAACAGTATCTATGGCTTGTTCATAATAGTCTCCACAGTGGGGCTGGACTCACTGCTCATCCTGCTATCTTACGTGATGATCCTCAAAACAGTGCTTAGCATCACATCCCACGCAGAGAGCCTCAGAGCCTTGAGCACCTGCATCTCCCATGTCTGCGCCGTCCTGATCTTCTACATTCCAGTGATTGGTCTTTCTGTGATACACAGATTTGGGAACAGCTCTTCTCACTTCTTGCAGATTCTCCTGGGCTATGTCTACCTGCTGGTCCCACCACTGATGAATCCAATCGTGTACAGTATGAAAAGCAAACACCTTCGTGCAAGGATAATAAGGGTGTTCGTCAAGTGAAGGGCCAGTTCATCACCCGGCTCCTGCAATAGTGACATGAGCTGCTATCTCCACTCTCTACAGAGAGGTTCAGACAGGTTCTAAGGCCTGAAGGAATGGGAGAGGGGCTGGTGAGGGAGGACAGTGCAGTGGAGGAAGGAGACCAAGGTAGGAAGCAACATTTACAAAGTGAGTATATTCGTGGAGAAGCAGGGGACCCGTGGGATCTTGGCTAATAAAGGGCCATATCAGTTGTTGCTCCAATCTCAGAATTCCTTCAAATACAATCACTAAGAGAAGTGGTGTGGATCTTGTTTCCCATTATACCTGGCCTGTCACATTGTCCCATCTCTGGTTAAACATCCACAAGCCATGAAACAAGAAGCTGCAAACCTGTTCTGTAGTCATAGTCCTGGCCTTTCTTGAGCACTCAGGGTGCTGCATGACCCAGCCATGCTGCAACCGCTGTGGACAGGGTCTATTCAGGGGTCATGGACACCCACCCTTCCCCCACGTCCTCAGCCAGGTGCTTAAGACTGAGTCATGTCTGAGACATGATTAATGCAGGATCCGCAGGAGAAGCCATTCAGTCAGACTCTCCCCCGTTGATGGCTCTGCACCCAACACACCCGCTGAGCCCACTCCTCACCAAGGCAAAACAGAGCTGAGTGTGGGAGGGAGGATCTGAAACACAGGAGTCCTGGCAAGTCACTCTCACCCAGATTCCTCCCTCCTCCCCTCCGTTTGTGCTGTCCCAGAAATGCAAAGGGGTGCTTTTTTTTGCCTCTGTCTTCACTAACAAGGTCAGCTCCCAGACTGCTGCGCTGGGCATCACAAAATGGGGAAGAGATGGCCAGCCCTCTGTGGAGATAGAGGTGGTTAGGGACTATTTAGAAAAGCTGGACGTGCACAAGTCCATGGGGCCGGACGAGTTGCATCCGAGAGTGCTGAAGGAATTGGCGGCTGTGATTGCAGAGACATTGGCCATTATCTTTGAAAACTCGTGGCGAACGGGAGAAGTCCCGGATGACTGGAAAAAGGCTAATGTAGTGCCAATCTTTAAAAAAGGGAAGAAGGAGGATCCTGGGAACTACAGGCCAGTCAGCCTCACCTCAGTCCCCGGAAAAATCATGGAGCAGGTCCTCAAAGAATCAATCCTGAAGCACTTGCATGAGAGGAAAGTGATCAGGAACAGCCAGCATGGATTCACCAAGGGAAGGTCATGCCTGACTAATCTAATCGCCTTTTATGATGAGATTACTGGTTCTGTGGATGAAGGGAAAGCAGTGGATGTATTGTTTCTTGACTTTAGCAAAGCTTTTGACTCGGTCTCCCACAGTATTCTTGTCAGCAAGTTAAGGAAGTATGGGCTGGATGAATGCACTATAAGGTGGGTAGAAAGCTGGCTAGATTGTCGGGCTCAACGGGTAGTGATCAATGGCTCCATGTCTAGTTGGCAGCCGGTGTCAAGTGGAGTGCCCCAGGGGTCGGTCCTGGGGCCGGTTTTGTTCAATATCTTCATAAATGATCTGGAGGATGGTGTGGATTGCACTCTCAGCAAATTTGCGGATGATACTAAACTGGGAGGAGTGGTAGATACGCTGGAGGGGAGGGATAGGATACAGAAGGACCTAGACAAATTGGAGGATTGGGCCAAAAGAAATCTGATGAGGTTCAATAAGGATAAGTGCAGGGTCCTACACTTAGGACAGAAGAACCCAATGCACCGCTACAGACTAGGAGCCGAATGGCTAGGCAGCAGTTCTGCGGAAAAGGACCTAGGGGTGACAGTGGATGAGAAGCTGGATATGAGTCAGCAGTGTGCCCTTGTTGCCAAGAAGGCCAATGGCATTTTGGGATGTATAAGTAGGGGCATAGCAAGCAGATCGAGGGATGTGATCGTTCCCCTCTATTCGACATTGGTGAGGCCTCATCTGGAGTACTGTGTCCAGTTTTGGGCCCCACACTACAAGAAGGATGTGGATAAATTGGAGAGAGTCCAGCAAAGGGCAACAAAAATGATTAGGGCTCTGGAACACATGAGTTATGAGGAGAGGCTAAGGGAACTGGGATTGTTTAGCCTGCAGAAGAGAAGAATGAGGGGGGGATTTGATAGCTGCTTTCAACTACCTGAAAGGGGGTTCCAAAGAGGATAGCTCTAGACTGTTCTCAATGGTAGCAGATGACAGAACGAGGAGTAATGGTCTCAAGTTGCAGTGGGGGAGGTTTAGATTGGATATTAGGAAAAACTTTTTCACTAGGAGGGTGGTGAAACACTGGAATGCGTTACCTAGGGAGGTGGTAGAATCTCCTTCCTTAGAGGTTTTTAAGGTCAGGCTTGACAAAGCCCTGGCTGGGATGATTTAACTGGGAATTGGTCCTGCTTCGAGCAGGGGGTTGGACTAGATGACCTTCTGGGGTCCCTTCCAACCCTGATATTCTATGATTCTATGATTCTATGAAATGACCTCAGGTTCCCCACAGAGGCATGGCTAATTCCTATCCCAGCCCAGCCCATTCACTGTAGGGTGACCACCTTTTCAAAAGGCAAAAACAAAACAGCTTTGGCACTCCCCATGTCCGTCCTCTTCCCCCTGAGGCCCTACCCCCTGCTCCTTTTCCTCTCCCAAGGCTCTGATCCTGGCCAGGCTGGAAGCTTAGAATCATAGAATATCAGAGTTGGAAGGGACCTCAGGAGGTCATCTAGTCTAACCCCCTGCTCAAAGCAGGACCAATCTCCAATATTTGCCCCACATCGCTAAATGGCCCCCTCAAGGGTTGAACTCACAACCCTGGATTTAGCAGGCCAATGCTCAAACCACTCCCCCCCTGGCATGAGCCAGACCATGGTAACAGCTGCCTAGGGAGCCCGGATGTTTCACCTGCCATGGTCAGGAAGGCCAGGGGGCCCGAAAGCAACCCCCAGCCCATGTCCCCAACCCCCAGGGCATGCCATCAAGGGAAGGTGGAGAATATGGCACTCCCCACAGTGGCCTGGGCTCCCTGGGATGCTCGTCCCGCAGCCTGGGTCTGGCCAAGCTGGGGGCCGAGCCTCCGAGGAAGAGATGAGGCTGGGCTGCTGTGGGATCCAATCTGCATCCAATCCCTGCCCTGTTGGCTGGGCTGCTTGGGGAGCTCCTGGCACCTGATGCACCTGGGCTCCTGCAGGGTCCCCGCAACTGGGCTGTTGAGGGGGTCACCTACCACAGCTGGGCTGCCAGGGGCTGTTCCCGCAATGCCCACTGTGGCTGGGCTTCAGGGGGGACCCCAGGTGCCTGCAGTGAGTGGGTGCTCTGGGGGCCCCATGGATCTCCAGGGTCCCCTGCTGCCCAGTAGCTAGGAGCTGCGGGGGGCTGCAGACAGTAGTGGCTGTGAGCTGTGGGGCTGCCTGCTGATAGCAGTCCAGACCTGGGGCAGAAAATGTTGTGGAGGTCTCAGGAAGTCAAGGACTCTGTGACTTCTGTGACCTCTGTGATATAATTGTAGCCCTAATAATTATGATATGATTACAATATAGTCATAATGCATCTTGTACAAAATGAGTATTTTGAGGGTCCATGGAAAAGTTGTGATTTGCAGAATATTATGATCCTATCTTTGTTCATGTATCACTTCTGTCTCTTAAGATATGAATATTGACTATGTATCTATATTTCAAATGTAGTTACATCTGGGTGACACCCACTAGGCAAAATGCTTCCAGTCTAGGCAGCAGGTTGTGAAGGGCTTATTCAGGGCCATGGGCCATTAGTGGAAACAATGGGCCCTAGGAGAAGCTTATCCCCCACCTGGTGAGCCTTCCTGAGAACACTTAGGACAACCTATGGAAAATGGCCGCTTTGACTCAGCAGGGAATGCAAGGGCATGTGACCAGACCACATAACACTAAACTCCATCTTGGTATCTGTATTTTTCCACTCGGTAAGATGGGATATGACATCATCTCTTGGCCTCACTCCCCATACAAGAGAACTCCTGGAAACACCTGAGGAACAAAGACTGAACTGGGGGAAGTGCTGGTCCCAGGCTAAAGGGATTTCTAGCTTGCATATGAAAACTTGGTGGATGGCTTGTATCATCAGACAGGGTGAGAAATTGCTAATTCATATCTATCTAGCATGTTAGGCTTATTTTGCATTTTGCTTATTAGCTAGGTAATCTGGGGAGCTGGCAAATTGGCTCTTGTGTCCTGTTTTTCCTGGAGTGGCTTAGGTAAAGGACTCAGGTATCTCAAGTGGGTATGTGGCACCACCTGCTGTCATGCTGGGGCATGGAGAGATTTGTTGTGTCAAAAGTAGAGCAGTATGAGAGAGGACAGCCCAGCTGAATGGTTAGGGGGCTCAGTGATTCCAACAGCTCCAAGTCTGTACCCCGGGGGTGAGAACCCTTCACAGAGGTTTTAGAACAAACTGATAAATGAAACAGTAATAAGTCACCAGGACCAGATGATATTCACTCAAGAGTTTTGAAGGAACTCAAATATGAAAAAGTAGAATTACTAACTGTGGTATGTAACCTGTCACTTCAATCAACCTCTGTACCAGATGCTTGGGAAATAGCTAAGGTGATGCTGATTTCTAAAAAGACTCCACAGGCGATACCAGAAATTACATGCCTGTAATCCTAATTTCAGTACCAGGCAAATTGGTTGAAACTATAGTAAAAAAAACCCAGAATTATTAGACACACACATGAACATGATTTGTTGGGGAAGAATCAACATGCCTTTTGCACAGGGAAATCATTAGAATTCTTTGAGCGGGTCAACAAAAATGTGGGCAAGGGTGATCTGTATTTGGACTTTCAGAAAGCCTTTGGTCCCTCACCAAAGTCTCTTAAGAAAAGTAAGCATTTGCGGAAGAAAGGGTCTCTCATTTATCAGTAACTGATTAAAAGACAGGAAACAAAGGGTAGGAATAAATGGTCAGTTTTCAGAATGGAGAGAGGTAACCAGTGGTGTCTCACAGGGATCTGTACTGGGACGAGTGCTGTTCCAGATATTCATAAATGATCTGGAAATAGGGGTAAGCAATAAGGTGGCAAAACTGGCAGACATGACAAAATTATTCAATATACTTAAGTCCAAAGCAGACTGGTCAACAAAATGGCAGATGAAACTCAGAGTTGATAAAAGAAAAGTACTGCACATTGGAAAACATCATCCAAACTCTACATACAAAATGATGGTTCCAAATTAGCTGTTACCACTCAAGAAAAAGATCTTGGAGCCATGGAGGATAGTTCTCTGAAAACATCTGCTCAGTTTGCAGTTTTCAGAGGACAGTGGCAGTCAAAAAAGCTAAGAGAATGTTGGGAACCATAGGGGGCAGACATAATGGGCCAGGAAAGGGTAATTTTTTCCTGGCATAGCTATGGACATCTGCCCCCTGTTGCGGGGTTTGCACAGGTGAAGGGTTAATGTTTAGCTATTCCACCTGGAAGCAGGCGGGGCACACCCTGACTGTTTCGTAGAAGCAGTGCACACATTGCTCTATCCAAGGACAAGGGCTAGATATGAACCATGAGAACTTGATTGTTTGGACAGCAACTGTGGGAGGCTTTCTTAGCCTGGGCTCAAGGCCTGAGAACCAGGATTGTAGTAGATAGGGGATGGTAACTAAGTATATGAATTAATGGCATACATTCCTTTGTGTAGCAGTGTGTAATGCTTAGGGGGAGAAATATAATAAAAGGAGAAGGTGGAAGGCGGGGGGGCAGAACGGCCCATCTCCGCTGACCAGCCTGCTTGCTTGCAAAAAGCTGTGTTCTGTCTCATCATTGAACCGCCACAACTGGCGCCCAAACGTGGGGCCCGCAGCACTCACCTCGCCCGGCAAGGGTTTCAGACGCGTCACTCATCCGCTTCGTGGATCCCGGTGAGTATTTTTCATTGTGGTAAGTATGGGAAGCTCCCTCTCTGCTTTGCAAGTGCAACACCGCAATGAGCTGCAGTATTTGCTGCATAAGGCTCAGCATGACTGCCCGGCTCGAGCACTTACTCTCCTGCTACAGGAGGTGCGTGCCAAGTGCCCGTGGTATCCTGAAGCCGGAAGCGTTAAGCTAGCAGACTGGGAGCAATTGAGCCAGACATTGCACGTTTACATGCCTGGCACCTCTGCCGCGATGTGGTACAGCGTGTCGCCTCCGACAGGCCCTCCCTCGCGAGGCTGGTGATCTCGCCACGCCCGTCCGCTCCTGCAGCCATCCCCCCTCCTGGCGATGCGACACAGCGTGTCGCCTCGGAAAGGCCCTCTCCAGCACCAACAGAGGGGCTGCCGATCCCGCCGCCCCCGTTCGCTCCTGCAGCCATCCCTCCCCCTGCTTCGCCCCCAGTGCCTCTATTACCACCGCCTCCCTGGCCTTCCCCACCGGAGCCGGTGTGTGATCACCCTCCCCCTGTGGGGCCCCCCGGAGGGTCATCTGCATCTGCTCAGAAGCTTTCGCTGGTGCAACAAATGGTTCACGCAGCGAAAGCTCGATCAGATCTTACAGCGGAGGAGCTGGCTGATCTGGTCTCCGTTTGCCCGGTGACCTGGCAGAATGATGACCAGGGCAACCCCGTGGGCACCTGGACCACTTTGCCATACTCGGTGGTTAGAGAGGTAAAGAAAGCAATTCGTGAATTTGGCCTGACTAGCACCTTTGTGCGTGGTCTCATTGAAGGGATGGGTACTGGGTACTCCCTAATCCCTGAGGATTGGAAAACGCTGCTGCGCATGATGTTGTCACCCAGTCAGTATGTTATTTGGCTTAGTGAGTATCGGCAGATGGCAGAACGCCAAGCTCAGGTACATAGAGAGCGCGGTATCATTTATGAGCATTTGGCAGGGGAGGGCCCGTTTGCTACTATTGAGATGCAGTCTCAACTCCCTCAGGCTGTCTTCCCCATTATTTCCACCTGTGCCCAGCATGCTTTCAAGAAGGTCCCAGATTCAGGCAAGCCTACCAAAAGCTTTGTCTGAGAGCTCTCAGACATGCTGCGGGCGTGCCAGAACATTGGCACACAAGCCCACAAGGCTGGAGTTCTGGCTGCCGCCCTGAGAAAAACTGGGAAGGAGGGGAAGCGTTGTTACCGCTGTGGTAAGGAGGGTCATTTTCAGCGGGAGTGCCGCTCATCTAAGGCACCAGCCCGACCCTCAAAGAAGTGCCCCAAGTGTGGGAAAGGTTATCACTGGGCTAATCAGTGTCGTAGCGGGTCGGGAAACCGCGCGATGGGTCCCCCCCAAACCCAGGGCCAAACGGGGGTGTTTCCTACTCAGGCAATCGCTCCTCTGCCTTGGAATCCGTAGACTCTATGAGGGCGGCGACTGCTGGAAGTGCAGAGCTTGATTTGATCATGCAGGAGGACACTGACTTTCGGCTGCCAGGGGAGGTCTGTGCCATACCTACACAGGTGACGGGACCTCTCCCTGCCGGCTTTGTAGGTCTTGTTCTCCCTCGCTCACATGCTGGGAAACAGGGCTTTTTTGTCATTCCAGGGGTCATTGATGCTGATTACACTGGCATTATTAAGGTTCAGGTGTGGACTCATCTTCCACAGTCGCTCCCGCGTGGACGGTCAATTGCACAATTGATTTTAGTCCCCTATCAGGTGCCAGCTGCCGAGGATCGAACTCGGGGCGGAGGCGGCTTTGGATCGACGTTGTCTCACTCGCCGTCTCACAGCGCGTCTTCTCCACTTGTTGCTCTGACAATGTCAGTCCGCCCCTCGAAGTCTCAGTTAACACTTCTCTTAGATGATGTTCCTTTTACAGGGCTGGTGGACACTGGAGCTGACGTTACAGTGATTCGTGATCTGGAGTGGCCGGTTAGTTGGCCTACGGTTCCTTCTAAAGAATTGTGGGGGATCGGGGGTAGTAAACCCGGGCGCCAAAGTTTGTCTTGGGTCATGGTCTCTAAACCGGGAGGCCTTACCCTTGCTACTATCCGCCCTTTTGTGCTCCCTGTCCACCTCAATATTTGGGGCCGTGATTTACTTACAAAGTTAGACACCACCCTCGATATTAACATCTGATGGCCCAAAACCCTCCCTCACCCACCGTGCCCTCCGCCTTACCCTTGGTATGGCAATCCTTGGTATGGCCCGTATGGATTGATCAGTGGCCCCTCCCTCTAGAAAAGCTAAAAGCACTTCATTCGCTTGTGCAGCAGCATTTGCAAGCACAGCGACTGGAGAGCTCCACAGTCCCTGGAACACCCCGGTGTTCGTTATTAAGAAAAAATCGGGTGCTTGGCGACTGTTACATGACTTAAGGGAAATAAATAAACGCATCCAACCTATGGGCCCCTTGCAATTTGGCTTGCCAAATCCAAATTTAATTCCTCAAACCGATCAACTTTGTGTGTTAGATTTAAAAGATTGTTTTTTTTTTTACCATCCCCCTTTGCCCTCAGAATTAGCTGCTGTTATTTTGGCCTTTCAACCTTTTGCTGATTGTCCGTTTAATTTAATTGTGGATACCTATTATGTTTATTAGGTAATTGATCATTTACCCCTTGCCCTCATTACCCCTCAGGTTGATGCAGACCTCCTTCGCCTGTTTTTGTTTTTGCAGCACCTTTTTGCCACTTGTCATTTCCCTTACTTTGTTGCTCATATTTGCAGTCATACCCCTCTGCCTGGGCCACTGGGTAAATTCCCTTTTTTCTGACCCCATTGAAAGCCATGCCTTTTTTCATCAGTCTGCCTCTGTTTTGGCCCGGCAGTTTCACATTCCTGCTGATCATGCACGTTCCATTGTTCGTTCCTGCCCCCACTGTGCTGCTGCTGCTCCTACTTTTTCTTATGCCGTTAACCCCCGAGGTACCGCAGCAAATCAGCTGTGGCAAATGGATGTTACTCATGTGCCACAATTCCGCCCCTATTTGTTTTTACATGTTTCCGTTGATACTTATTTAGGCTTTCTTTTGGGCTTCCCCACAACGTGGGGAAGTCACTAACAAAGTTATTCACCATTTGCTGGCCTGCCTTTTTGTTATGGGTCGCCCCTGCCAAATTAAAACAGATAATGCCCCAGCCTACTGCTCTGAAGCCCTCTCCACCTTTTGTGCCCACTGGGACGTCCGTCTTACACACGGAATCCCTTATAATTCCACGGGCCAAGCCATTGTTGAACGTGCCAATCGCACACTCAAAACCTTGCTAGATAAACAATTAAAACAAGGGGAGCTGCATCTCCGAACCTTAGGAGACATTTAACAACAAATGCATATCCTCTTGTTTACTTTAAATAATTTAACACTGAACGCAGATCAGCAGACCCCTGCGGATCGGCATTTTCACAAATCTGAGGTACTGGAAAGACTGCGTGTCTTTTACCGTCAGCTGCCCGATCCACAGTGGCTGGGCCCAGCACCTCTAATCACTTGGGGTCGGGGATATGCTGCTGTGTCTCTCCCTGCAGGACCGTTGTGGGTTCCAGCTCGGTGTGTGCGACCGGCACTTAACCAACATGGCGTGGCACCAGGGACTATCGAACCCCATACCGGAGTTTCAGCTGACCTTGGAGGAGACCGCGTTGCCCCCCGAGTTGACAACGACGGGACGGAAACGGAGGAGGTGTAGTGTCCCAAACCGGCCCGTGATATGGGGAGCAGTAAAAGCATTGGTCGCCGCGGCCCAACGAAGGCTGGCAGCAGATCAACAGCCAGAGACTCCTGAGACTTTGTTTGTGGCGATTCTCGCCCAAATCACTGCTAATTCTGTGATGATTGTGTGCCTTTTGTGCCTGCTATTTCCTGTAGGGGTTGGCTCGGAAGCGCCTCCCCCGTTATAAGCCCGAATGACATATAACATATGGGAAAGATTGGCTTCAATAGCAAATGTTACCTGTGCGCGTGTAGTTAACTGCACTAGTACAAAGGTGCCCTTGGGCTGTCGAAAAATTTCTCAACCCCTTTTAAATTGTTCCCATGCTGTTTATGTTTCATATAATTATGGCCATATCATCCTACCATCAGGATGGGTTTTTACTTGCGGTTCACGCACCTTTAATTATATTCCTGCAAATTTAAGTGATGGCACCCTTTGCTGTCTTAGTAGAATGATATTTATATTGCCTTTTGCTGGTTACAATTGTAGTAAAAGAAGTGTACCCCTTTTAGATGATTATATTGCAGATGTTGAGCTTTTGGTTATTTTGTGTTTGTAATCATTGGGCTTATTTTTTTTGCTGCTGCTGTGTACAATGTATTCTTTCCTTGTTAAGACTTTGTAAAATTTTGCCCTGGAAAGCTCCCCAGGTTATGTCCTTGTCTGTCTGGGAGTTAAATAGCATGACAAAACAAATTGACGGCTACCATGAGATGGCCAAATATCAATAAATAAAAAACGGGGAGATGAAGGGTTAATGTTTAGCTATTCCACCTGGAAGCAGGCGGGGCACACCCTGACTGTTTCGTAGAAGCAATGCACACATTGCTCTATCCAAGGACAAGGGCTAGATATGAACCATGAGAACTTGATTGTTTGGACAGCAACTGTGGGAGGCTTTCTTAGCCTGGGCTCAAGGCCTGAGAACCAGGATTGTAGTAGATAGGGGATGGTAACTAAGTATATGAATTAATGGCATACATTCCTTTGTGTAGCAGTGTATAATGCTTAGGGGGAGAAATATAATAAAAGGAGAAGGTGGAAGGCGGGGGGGCAGAACGGCCCATCTCAGCTGACCAGCCTGTTTGCTTGCATAAAGCTGTGTTCTGTCTCATCACTGAACCGCCACACACAGGGAAGTTTTTGCTTATTAGTATGTGCCATGGAGATTCCAGGGTTGCTGAGGAGACAGTATGTGCTACTCAGTTTCCTGGCTTCATCACTAATCTCACTGGACTCCATGGAGATTATTGATGAACCCAGGAAGCTAAGTAACACAAACAGTTGTGACAGGTTGTCACCCAGGGGGTGCAGTCTGGGAGCTGTGGGAACTGCTATGCTGCTTAGCCCTCCAGCTGGGCTGGTCAAACTTACACTGCTTTGATGATGACACAGCCAGTGTCTCCAAGCCCTGTTATCACCCAACATGACAACAGGTGCTGTCATACACCCAGCTGAGCTGCCTGAGTGCTTTAACTAAGCCATTCAAAGACAGGCAGGAGACAACAGCCAAGTTCACAGTTCCCCTGCCTTGCAGATTGCTGGAGTATAAACCAAAAATTATTCCATTTTGCACTGCACAGGATTCTCTATAGCGTAAGTTCATTAATATAGGCTGCTTTCTAGTCAAAGTGTGAAAGATATGCAACATCCTTTATTTACGGGGCTGAGATTTTCCTAGATACTTCACTCAAAACACACTGGTTATGATAAAACATAAAACAAGGTTTTTAACTACAGAAAGATAGATTTTTAAGTGATTATAAGTGATAGCTAACAGATCAAAGTAGATTACCTAGTAAATAAACAAAACAGCCCTGTGGCTGTTGCTCATCAGTTAGACCCATTCAGCCTCAAGGGCTTGAAAACACTGGTCCGGTGACTGTGCTGAAACGCTCGGCATCCCCATGATATTCCAACACTAACCTCAGAAATCCACTACCTACACCTCACTGTCACCCCCGAGCACTCCAGCATCTGCCACAGAAACCAAAGAGCTGGAGTCATGGGGTTTCCCAGAAGCCAGCTGTCACAGGAGGCTGTGAGAAGAGGCCTTTTTTATAGACAAATGTCAGAGGTGTTGCTCTATGGAACCCTGACACAGTCTGAGACCCTAAGATCAGGACTATCTGAGCACCTTGAATGAATTTATCCTCCTGCCATCTCTGTGAGCCAGGGCAGGGCTATTATCCACGTGTGCAGAGGCTCAGAGACAGCCAGTGGCTTGTCCATGGTTACACGTGGCAGGTAATCAAACCCATCTCTCTTGAGTTGCAGTGGAGTTCTCTTGTGTTGCAGAGCAGTGCCTAGACCACAGGACCAGCCTTCC